TTATGAGAAAATATAATTATTTTCAAATTCTCTATTCACTGAACTATTAACTTGTATATTTTTCCACGATTTTTCCTACAAGTAGCAGTTTATTCTTCATAGGTGGAGGAGCCTGATGATTTTCAGGTGATAGCCACATCATATATTGAGTAATATGATTCATTTTGATAAAGCACCAATTAATTATTTTGGGCCCATTGCGTTATTTTTATAAGCACTTTATTTAGTGCATATTTAATGGTAACACGTAGTCAGCCTGGATGGTGATTCTGACATCTAGTTAGTATTCCTCATCGGCGCCTATCACATTTCAGGCCCACTGGGATGATTTGGGATGGGTCGTGTCAGATGACTTAGGTGGCTTGTCGTCTAAAATGTACTCAGATGGAAGCTTCCTGAACTCACAAATGCACTATGTTAAATCCAATGCAACTTTTACATGATCATTAATCGTGTCAAATTGGGATTTCAGCGGACTTGATTGGTCGATGATGCCTGACACATGTTTAAGGTAAGCTACAGACTTGGCAAGTGGATTCATTTTTAACACGAATACTTCATAGCAAAAGATTCTATTGAGATCACCGCCTTGCATCCCATGTATAGCTCGGAGGCTTTTGCAAATAGCCACTGTTATTTTATGTGCGCTTGCGCGACAATTGCTTACACTTAAAAAAAAAAAAAAAAAGCACTTATCAAACAGTGAACACGGAACTTCTTAAAAAGGAATGGCGATTAACCTCACCAACATACTTTCTGTAATTAAAAAGCCAATGCTCCATCGATTTCATCATTGATTTAACAATGCATCCGTTTCGTCCAGCTTATTTTTGTGCTGGCGAGAGCCCTGGACACGATATTAGAAGAAGTAAATTACCAAAAATAACTTAATTAGCCAAAGAAAGAAAGCAAAATTGACCATACATTTATAAAGCGACAATGCGTTGAAAAGCACAATAAAAAATATCCTCTATGACGTGGAGAATTGGATTCACATTACCAACATAACCATTACTAGCATGAGTTGCAAAAATTTCATGCATCATTGCACTGTCATCTGATAACAAGTTATTTCTATGGTTACTAACCAACAGAGACGAATTCAGGAGTTTGAGTCAGCACGGACGACCGTTGACCATCTGCCATTGTCCGCAATAAAATATTAAAAATTCTTTTGATATCCATTTTTTTTTTGGCAAGAAATACATTTTGGAATGGTGATTTGATGGAGAACATGTGACTAAAAATAAAGAAAAATTTTGAATTTACATGTAATATTATTTTATTGAAGAACGTATGAATGAAAAAAAGAAATAAAAATATAGTTTTAAAAAAAGGGAGAATCGAACATGGCCTAAAATATAAATATAATAATTATTTTGTTCAAACTGAATATATATAATTCTGTTATAAGAACAAATAGAACTCATCAAATAATATTGTTGCCAAGTTTTGTATAATTCAAAGGAAGAGTGTGAATTCGAATATTTAAAATTTGTTTACATTGAAACAACCAAAACCTAATAAATATTATTTTGTTAAATTTAGTAATACAATTCAAGAGGTGCCATAATGGTTAAGTTTACCACAACCCTTACTTGAGATCACAGGTTCAAATCCTAATTATTCCTCTCTCATTGAATTTTAGTAAAAATTATAGAATAAAAATAATACATAACAAATTCATTGATAGGGATTCGAACCTAAGACTTGAAGAATGTTAAGGTTGACTCTCACCAAGTAAACTACAAGGGATCTTTGAAAATAAAGTCAATTACCAGAAATATAAGATAAAAATTTAATCTATTACTAAAAAAAAAAAATATATATATATCTCGCCCTAGTTGGCCGTCCCTTGGATCTACCACTGACTGGTTAAACCTACTTATATTCTTAATCCTAGCTGGTTGATAAACGTTTGCCGTCAGTTTCACCATTTTTTTGGTGGGGGTGGGAAGTAAAAAGGGGTCAATGATTTGGATTTTGTGGTTTTTAAAGAATATAATAATGGCACTTATAAAGAGTGAAGTGTGATAAGAATAGGGAATAAAGCCCAGTTTGAACTAGTTCCTTGGTAGTTAGGAGGTGTAAACAATTAAAGATTTAAAGCCATTTTCATTTGGATAAGGAATTTCTATGGTGGCCTCTGAGCCATCTTTTCTTGTATAAAGATTTCAATCGAAGGTATTATTATTGTAGGTCTTCTATTAATCGTGTTGTACTGAGTTGATTATTTGCTATAAGGTATTGGGTTTCCGAGTAGTCAATTTGACTGGACACTAGTACAGAAAAGATTTCAATTTATTTATTTATTTTTATCTGAATTTTGATAGTTTGATTCACTCAGTTTCTAGTATGGAACTCGTAGCCTTGTTGAGGCCGCTTGCATTGTCAAAACTTTAGTTTATCTAAACAAGGATCTCGGGATAAAGCATGCGATACCACTTAGTAATTCTTAGTTGTTAATGTGTAATGTTTTTTTAGTTAAAAAGTCAAAGAAAATTGTAAAACGGGTGAGGGTTAAAAATATAATTTGTAGTATGCTTTTAAGTTTGTATAAGGGCAACTCCAACCCTTCCATCATTTTCCACCAAATTTCACCAAAAACACCACTTCAACCCAACAACAAATATTGCACCATTTTGTACCAAATGTGATAAAAGTCTATTCTGCCCTTTTTTCATGTATGACCAAGTTGATACGAAAGGTATTTTTGTCATTTTACATCATACATAAATTTTAAATCATAATTAAGTGGTTAATTAATAATATAATGATGATGATCATCATCATTTGTAATAAACTTTAATAGCATAATTAATAATAATAGATGAGCAAATTAAAATAAAAGTACTCAAAACGAAATGCATTAATTAAACATTTGTGGGATGATATATGAATTTCGATAATTAAATTAAACACTAGGTTGACTTCTCCATACCATAATTTCGAGATTCATATTTTCTTAGTTGTGATATTTTTATTAATTGTATTACATTTTAAAAATATATTAAATAATTTCATATTTTCGTAAACAAAATGTAATTATGTATGCTTAATTTATGTAGTAGTAAATCGAATAAATAAATAATTTTCATCTATATAAATTGTTAAAAATAAAAGAAAGGAAGAAAATGACTAAACACTGTTCATTTGATGCAACTTTTGGTGTAATGAATTGCAGATAAATTTTAGTTTAGTGCAAGAGTTGGTGCAAAATTTGGTATAAAATGGTACAAATTTTGGTAAAGGGTTGGAGATGACCTAAGTAGCAAATGTGCCCTAAAAGGTATATATGTATGGAAAAAGAGTTGTAAGGAAGAAATCTTGTGAAGTTTCCCTGTTTCCCTTGTTTTTCAATAACAAGTAATCTATTGCAGTAATTTTCTCAAGCTTTCATACAGCCCTATTTTTGTTCCGTTGAAATCTATTTTTGTTCCGTTGAAATCTACTAGTTTCATACCAGTGAAACTATTATTGAAATCGAGTTGTCCTTATTTTCATTCCGCGTGAAACCAGTGCAGTTTTACTCAAAATTGTAATCTCTGCCGACACTATTAATGAATTCTCACATGTAAGATGTTTCATACAGAGGTTATTGGACAAAGCTCACCTCAGTTTCACTAACCAGAATCAGTAATTTTCGTGCATGGAAACTGGAAATGTTATTATGTAAAGGTGGTTTGAACTGTCTGAATTGACATGACCCGTTCTTGTAATTCTAGTAGACTTAAAGACGAACTTAATTCCTCAAACCATCTTCAAATCATTGCATTCTCATTACCAACCAAAACATGTGCATACTTTGAAATTTCTTGGATAATATTTCTTCTCCTATTCATCAATGGTTATTGATCCTGTACTAATTTCAAGAACTTGGGCAGCTTATCATTTCTACAAGAATCACAATAGTAATTATCATACCGAAACTGCTATAGTTCATGGATGGAAAATTGGTTCATGTAAGATCTAGTTTTACCAAACTCAGTACCATGTTATGTTGAGTTACTTTTAATCTCTTAATATTTGTTCAAAAAATTACAATTAAACGGAAGAGAAAGTATAAAACCATTTCACGAAAGGATAGAAATTTGTTATTTTGAAAAACATGCATTACTTACAATAAACTAAATAGTTTTACAAACAAAATTTGTATATATTTTTGCCTTATATGCTGTTACCACTCCATACCAAATATATATTAAACGTTGAAGTGACCATGGAAATCTTGAAAGGTAGGGAAATTTTATGTCAATTACCCTTGACAAAATTTGAAAAAGGTACATACATATGAGGGGATATGACGTGACCTCCAATATCAAATAATTTGAGTGAATTCCTCCAAATGGTCATTGAACTTTACAAAAAGTTTCCACGAGGTCACTGAACTTTAAAAATCACTTCAATTATCACTGAACTTTACAAAAAGTTTCCACGAGATTACTGAATTTTGCAAAAGGTATCACAGAAGTCACTAAATTTAGTGACCCCTAGGAAGCATTTTATAAAGTTCAGTGATTAATTAAGTGACTTTTAAAGTTCAGTGGCCATGTGGAAACTTTTTGCAAAATTCAATGATGAATTTGATAAATTTTAAAGTTTAGTGACCCTGTGGAAATTTTTCCACAGTTTAGTGACAATTTGGGTAATTCACTCAAATAACTTTCTAGACAGAGTGATTTATCCGCTCATATAAAGTATTAAATTGAAGTCTCAATGCCGATTAATTATGAGAATTATGTTAGGCTTTTAAATGGAAAACGAGTTTTAAAAGTAAGGAAACATGACATAAAAAATTAGAATTATTCTATTTGTTCATCAAATGTTACTTGTCTATTATTTAACCCTTAATATAACTCTTAATGTACATGTAGAAAAGCCCAAAACTCAAGCTAATGAGGGACTGGAGACTTGAGGTCCAGGATTTAGTCTGACAAAGTTGGGACGCCTGGGTATCAAAAAAAAAAAAAAAAATTAATATATATTTTTTTGCACTTTAATAATTTAAACTTTTTAGATTTATTTCTTCACCACCAACATTTTAAAAAAAATCGACACTATGGGGATTAACCGACTAAACTAGCATGACCGACAAATACTATTACATTTAGTATCTCACTTTAAATCTTATTAAATGGTGCGGTCGTTTCACGTACAATTTCTCGAGAGACGAGTATAAAAGTAAAAAAAACTCAAGCATGGATGAACCTAACCCACTGAGAAACACTAGGAATCCCATCATTAACAACTGTAAGCATATAATAACCAGCAGGTGCCACATTTGGATTAGGAGGAGCTTCCAAACGTGCATTTATCAACCCATTTGCAGCCCTAACCAAGTTTCTGCACCTAAGTGTAAGCATCCTTTGGTTCATTGAAATTGAATGTGTAGTAAATGGAGGTGCGTATGCCGTGAACACTACATTTCTTAGCCTTGTATTCCTCAGAAGAAACTGAACTGAAAATTCCTTTCCATATCCCACGCCGTCGTTACCATTGCTGGATATGGAAACGTTATGAGGCCGGCTCTTGTCGAATTTCTTGTCCATATGGTCCGGGACGAATGCCTTTCAAGGAGAAATAGAGACGATGAAAACAGGTATTGAAGATGTTTGGTTGTGCAAACAAGGGGCAATTGTAGCTGCTTTTCTTGGTAAAGAACATGTAGAGATGCTCTTTTAGATACTTTCTTGAAAGTAAATCTCTTCACGCTTACAAAAAAAGCTGCAAATGTCCCTTTTAAGGATGTACAACGTGATAAAAACAGATGAACGGGGCTTGTCTGAATTTGCTTAAAAAAAAAAAAAAAAAAAAAAAGATACTATCGTATAAGTAAAACAAGTAAAATAATCCTTGTTAAGTCAACATGTTTGGGAACTTACTTATTTATAAGCATAATCAAAAGGAGAATTTACCTAATTTTTGGCTTTTTTTGGTACAGTTATCTTATCAAGATGTTTTAGTAATTTCCAGAAATTTTAGGTTAATATGCTAAATATGTTGATCAACTTAAAAAATAAGATAATAAATAGGAGTGGAGGTATTTATCCTCCTTTTGTCGTGACAATTAAGTCCCATTGTTGTTAAGTCGACAAGTATTTTTTTTTTTCCTGCTTATAAGATATTTTAATCACTTATAAGTAGGTTCTGAACACGCTCGAAAACATGTATTGAAGATGTTTGGCTGCTCTTAGAATGTGGTTTTTTTAGACGCTTTTCTTGGTAGCATGCAAAGACGCTCTTTTAGCTGTTTTAGTTGATAGGACGTTTCTACATGCTACCAAGATAACCGCTGTAAACTTGCTTTAATCACAGCATTTGCTAAAAAACTAGTCATATATATTTATCTCTCTTACCTGTAACCGGAGTTCGGTTGGATGAGGTACATTCCTGAATATGTATCTGTTATTAGGATTACCTCCTGCAACAAGAATTCTCCCATCAGGTAATAGAACGGCAGATGAATGATACATTCTGGCAATTTTCGTTGATCTTAAGACAGAAAATCTCCTGCCGAACGGTTTTCTTGGTTTGTAGAGATAGGGTTGGAGGGAAGGATTGGCTGCGGAATTCGACCCCGCAGAACCATTTTTCACTCCATTGATTATTAGTATATCGCCTGTTGGGAGAATTAGCATATCGCTCATTAGACGAGGCCCGGGCATGTTCTCCATTTTCCATTCGTGTTTGTTTCCTGTCAACCGCAAAATCCCACAATGGTTAAATATAAAGAATTGGACTATTCCGATTGACAGCGCTCACGTTTTAAGATGGAGACTAAAAAGTAAAAACTCAATACCTGTTATTTCCATTCTCCCGCATGATGTCAATGCCGGTAAGAATCTGCCGTGTTGGGCTGCTGAAAATGCGTCAGAAGCCGCCCCTCCGCATATCATGACTTCGACCCTTTCGAAGAGATCAGAATGGCTTAAAGGGAGAATGACTGATGAACCTGTACTTGGATAGCTCCTAGATCCATTTCCAGGAATTCTTGGAAAGGTTTTGGCAACTTTGTTTATTTTATAGTTGAAAAGGATTGAATCCCGGTTGGCAAAAATGAAAAGATGACCGTCAGAAGAAAGGTGGATTATAGGGTAGAGATTATTTCCTCCCTCATTTTTGTCATAGGTATTGTGCAAGAATGGAAGGTCATAAGATTTAAAACTGTTGGATGATAATCTTGGTACAAATTCGTATGTAAAAACCCTTCTACCTCCCACTACAATGATCTGGTCATGCCCCGGGAGTATTTGATTCGAAGAATACCATCTATCATCAGCCAAAAGTCTCTTTGTTTGCTTCCAATCACAATTATGGCCATGTGCACAAGGCTCAAGATACCTGTTGTCGACATAAAATCAATAACAAGTTTGTTTGCTCTCTAACCATTTTAACTTCTAAACGATGTGTTTCAAGTTTCAACAATACCTTATTCTTCGAGCACCATGTCCAAACCCGCCGGTTTGAATCAACGTCCCATTGCTCAAGAAGGAACCCGAAGAACACCAAGTATCAGTCTCAATATGTAGAGGCCTAATTTTGTTCCTCAAAAAATCATACTCAACCGAATGAGCATAGCATGACGAGTCTTCTAAATCCTCACGCGTACCCCTACATCTCGTCCCATTGTGGCGGTGGCTCAATCTATAACCTGATTGCCCGGATTCTATAAAAAAAAAAAAAAAAAAAGGTTCCACCTCAAGTTTTATTTTCTTGGGTTTGGATTATGGACTCGTGAAGAAACTATTCTAGTGAAAATTACTTTAATTCTAGTTTGTCAATGAGATTGAATAAAATTATGGAGATCGTTAAATATTACAGTTTGAAGTCTATATTACCATTATAATTGTATCCAAGGTGGACCCAGACTTTTAGTGTTGTAGGGTCAAAATAAAATATAATTTTTAAAAAAAAAATAAAACAACATAATATTAATGAAAATAAGTTAATACTCATTTTGATACCTTGAAAACGTCATTTAATTATATCATTGTCAATATTATTAAATAAATTTTGTTACTTGTATAGTTTTGTTCAACATTTCATTGATAAATTCTTAGCCAACAATGAATAAATTAAATTGAATGTAGAAAGTAAATGAATTAAAATAAAATCCAAGTTTACTCCAGAAAGTGAAATTCAAATTTAAAGCAAATATAATTCAGAAGTAATTTAAATTATATTTAATCAGTAACAATTTTAAAATTTTTGACGTCATATTTCATGTAAAATTTCCTAATAAAATGATATAAAGCCCATGTTTGGTCTCTATTAAATTAAATTTTATTTTTCTTTCTTCTATTTTCAATCACACAATTTTCAATAAAATAAGCCGAAAACTTTTCATTTTTTTCAACCACTCATTCTCAAAAAATATACTATTCCTTCCATTTTAATTTGAAAAAATGGGGGCCAAACGGGGCAAATTACATTGAACAATTTATCGTGCAAAAATAATAAACGTTAATAAAATAATTGATTTTTTTTAAAAAAAAAAAGACGAGTTAAACGACCTTTTTTGAGATGTATGTTTGACATATATTTAACTATTTTCAGTATTCGTTCGAACCATTCAATATGACAACAATGTAGTTTTTAAAACGAGCTTCTACATGACACAAACAACTTGTGGATTCGGATAGCATATGATTGTTGATATATTTTGAAAGTTAGCAAATTATCAAAATTCTCGAAATACTAGTTTGAAATGGTCTATTTTGAGGCTTCGTAACTTTTGCTATGATTGACCATTTAACATGTCATTAATTAACAAAAAACTAGACCCTGATCACTTTGAAATGGTTTTAGGAATGGAATATTTCGACTTCATTTGATATCTTGTATTGAGTACATCAAAGTAGGTCGTAAAGTGATTAAAACAACTATTTTCTTTTAAAAAAAAAAACGAAGGCAAAAATTTGTAAAGTCATTTGACCCCACATGACCCTATGTGGGTCCGCCCATGATTGTACCATGCATAGATAGATTACTTTTACAATATTTAGATTATTTATTGTAACTATATAATTCAATGATCCTAAGGGAAGATTATTCAGCGAAAAGATTGACTTGGTAAGAATATTCTCTCATTTTATTGGTTAGGTTTTCTCAAGTGGTTAACTGAGAAGATAGCGGCATTGGAAGAACCCTTTAACACACCATCTTTGAAAATTCTTATCCTCATTCTGAAGATGGAGCTAGTCTTGAAAAAGAAAATATTCATTGGGGGTCTTGCTCGTGAAACGACTTTTGCTTAACTTGTCAAATATTTTGGTAAATATGGAGATATTAAGGATTCTGTAATAATGAAGGATAGGAAAATAGGGCATCCTTGTGGGTTCGGGTTGGAGTTTGTCACCTATGCACACCCATCTGCGGTTGATAGAGTCATTGAGGAAATTCATATTATTAATAGAAAGCAAGTATAAATCAAGCGGACTATTCCAAGATGAGCAAACATCATAGATTTTAGAAAAAAGAAGATTTTTGTGGGCGGTACTTCGACAACAATCGATGAAGATGGGGATGAAGCCTTGAAGGTAGAGATTCGTTCCTTTGATGATGGTAAACTAGTAGTAATGACCGGCGGCTCTGGGCTTAGAGATGTGAAGGGAAAGGGTTTTGGACGTAATTGGGCCAAGTTAATTGATAAAGATATGTAGGTCATTTTACTTGGAGGAAATTATACCCCACCCTATACCTTTAAAGATCTGTGTTCTAAAATTATGTAAGAGGTTTCGGTTTTCAAAAATCAGATGTTTTATTTTATTTAATATTTTTACTAAATATATATACTCCAATACACACACATCACATATCCTAACTAATTCCCATTTACCGATCTCTCTCTACATTTCTCCATTTTCTCTATGCAAACCTACCACCTTCTTTCACTCACTCTCTCTACACCAACCCTTCCCCGTGAAAAAAAACTCCGGCGTTGAGGTATGGCATTGGAGGCGCAACCACCCCTTCATCTCAAAGGATGTGCAACTCTGTCATTTTGCCTAAGTCATAGCGCCGATGGAGTTGAGGTGCAGCAATGCAATACGTCTCAGTGGTTTTACCTGAATCTAAACTTTCTTCGGCTTACAGATCACAGTGATAACTTGAACTTTTCTCCAGTTTATGGATCACAGCGCCGCTTGTGGAGGTTTCTATGGTGGTCTTGTGACGTTTTGCAATCATTTTTATGGCTATTTTTCGGCATGTTTTGTTGCAATTTTTTGTTGTGGTGGTTGTGTAGACGATGATAGTGTGTTTTCATGGTGGAGGCGGAGACAAGGTTGTGGATCCTTTGTGAGAGTGGTTGTGTGTCGTGCAAATGGAGATGGTGGTGGTGGTGTATCGTGGGTAGTGCGGTGTGCAATAGTGTTGCGTTGTGGGCATAGTGGCGGTGTTGCGGGTATTATGGTGAGTTGATGGTAATTATGGAGACAATGGTGCCCATGATCATAGTTGGTGTGTCTAGCATGATGGTTTTGCTGCCAAAAGGTAGTGGTGGTGGGTCTGGCAACAGTGGATTCGATGGCGATGCAGGTAGTGGCATGGTGAGGTGGTGGTTACAAGTGTTGAGGTGGTCATAGATGATTTGGTTGATAGTGATCATTAACTTGGTTAATGTGTGACCAATAAAATATACATAAATTGTGACCTAAAAAATTGTTAATTTGTGACCTAAACATAACATAATTTGTGATAAATTAATTTAATATTTTTGTGACCACAAAATAAGTTGTGACTTATAAAATTTGATATTTGTGATCAAAGAATAATACGTGAACTATTAATTTGTGAACAATGAATAAATTGTGATCTACAAAGTTCTTGAATTGTGACCATAAAATAATTTGTGACATAGAAGTTCTGATTTGTGATAAAAAAATAATAATATGTGACTAATTAAATCGTTAATTTGTGATCAAATTGTATAGATTTGTGATCTAAATATATTTAATTAATAAAATATATTATCAATTAATTAAATCATAAATAAAATTTAATAAATATTTAATTTTTGAAGTTTGAAACTTGGTTTTCTTGATTTGAAATGTGTCATATGTAAACTTTTACTCATGAATTTTCCCTTTTACATTTAGCTAAATGGGCTATTATTTTGGTTTTGGGGACTTGCTGTAGTTTTAGGTTGGGTGTACTTGGGATGTGGTTCATTTGTGGGCTGTAGTTAAGTGTTATTTAGGCTTTTCCTTGTTGGGTTGAATTAATATAAGCTTTAGATTATTTAGTTCGTGTGTTGTTGTAGTAGTTATTTTATTGGGCTTTGGACTATTGCTGTTTGTTGGACTGTTGTTCGCTGTTGGACTTTGATTTGGGCCATGAGTTTTATGGGCTATTAGGTGTTTTTCTTGGGCCGACTTTTTTTGAACTAATGTGGGCTGTTATGTAATGAATAGTGTATGTGTATTGTGGGTTAACATTTGGGCTGAGTTAGGGTTTGTGGGTAATGGGTTGTGGATTGGATGGTCGATCTAGATCTAGGTTTGGTGGTTGAAGTTTTGGAGTTTTGAGGCTTGTTTGGGTTTAATATGAGATTTAAGGTGTGACAAATAGAAATTACTAAGTCACGTAAGAAATTTTGGATTTGCAAAGACACCGCTGAAAAAAAAATTCGTTTTTGGTTGAGGGGAGACAGAGAGAGACATGGAGTGTAGACCTTTGAGTTTTGGTTGTTCGAATGATGAGCTAGAGTTTTAGATTCTCAGAGGAGGATCATCTTTAGATTTTTGGTGTGCTCTATTTTGTTCCAATTGCAGCATTTTGGCCGCAATATATTGCTAAATTTTTTGTCATTAGAGCTTTTCACAGAACCCGAATTATGTGTTTAATTGAATTCTCCAAACTAATAGAGCTCGCTATGTATGGTCGGCACAATTCGTGAATTTCTTTCGAAACTTCTTATTGAGGTGTAAGGTCTCTGGAGCGGTTCTTGGCTGATTCTGCATTATTTTTTGTTCTTTTTTCAATAGATGTTTGCTTTGATTTAGGCATCTTCTTCGTGGGCACGAACATTATCATCGTCATCAGTTCATAACTACAAATTGATGCTTTTATCAACATTAATTTGAGGGGGATGTCAATAAGATGGAATAAGATTATTGCTTGACATTTATATTATCTTTATAATTGTTCATATATAGATAGATTGCGTTTATCATATTTAGATTATATATTATAACTATATAATTTAATGATGTCCTAAGGAAAGATTATTCAGCCAAAAGATTGACTTAAAATTGATCTTATTCTGGGTCTTAAAATATAAGAATCGCTCATTTAATCCATAATTTATATGCATTTATACATAATTAGAATATATGAAACTAATTGATGGGCACACACACCAAATTTATTTATTTATTTGTTTATTTGGAAACTTCGTCCAAGGATGGTAAATTACTCAACCGCGACCAGCCCATGCACCCGGTGACGGGTAATTCATGTCTTGTTTAGTAATTAAAGTGGGAAAGGAAAATATAGTCATATCCTAAATCCACTCGGATTATTATTTATTACTTTATTCTATATTTCAACGTTTAAGTCATATAAAAAATAACAAGAAATAATTAAATAAGTAAACGGAAGGTAAATAGGACTTTTTTAATCTCTCAACTACTCCGACCCTGCCCGTGCCCCACGTGCTCGGATATAACAATTTTGTTTTGATGTGTATTTTTTTTTTTAATGTAAATTTATTTATTTTTCATATTAGACAAACTTTAAAATTTTATTATCCGGGCCCTGAATTCGCAGTGTCTTGCTTTTCTTGCCCACATCTCCTTTTGACTACGAAAGTTCACTTGGAAGTGAGAATCGTTGCCGTCCAACTCCTTCACTATTAATTGCACAAATCTAAATTAATCGTCATATGATTGTCTTGAAAAGATATTGCACTTCAATTTTATGAGCATCACTTCGAGTTGAAAAAAAGAAAAAGAAAAAAAGAAAATCCAATTTCATAAAGATAAACATGTGAGGACTACACAATAATTTAATCAATTGGAAACTAATTCAAAGGTTGAGGACTAACTTGGTTTATATAAATGACATATATAAATAAAATTTTAATTCATAAGTATAAATAAGTAATATATGAAAAAATACATAATGAAAAATTTAATTACTTTTAAGCTTAGTCAAAAATGTGATATCTCATATAGTTAAAATGTCATTTTTCTTTACTTTAATCAATAAAAATTAATTATTATATAGTAAATTAATTTGATTAGAATATATATATATATATATATATATATATATAATTTGAATAATTGAACATTGGTATTGGGTTGAAAATAAAGTTAGTTGGGTTAAAATTAATTTTTGGGCTGGGTAAAATTTTTATTGGGAAAATTTCATAAATAAGATGATAATTATTACCCATTTCAAAAGTAATAATTAAAGTTTAAAAAATCATGTATTCATTAAAATTTAATTAATTAGTTATATATTTAATTAATTAAATATATTAAGGTTACAGATCTATACAATTTGGTCATAGATTTACAATTTAATTAGCCACGTATTATTTTTCGATCATAAATTAGAATTTTTTAATGTCACAAATTATTTTACAATCACAATTCAAAAATTTTGTCAGTCACAATTTGTTTATCGATCACATATCAAAAATTTATGCGTCACAATAACAAATATTATATATCAACTTGTTAAACAGTCACATATTATTAATTTTTTAGGTAACACATTTTTTTGATCACAATTTATCATTTTTATTGGTCACATATTATTTATTGGTTACAGATTAATTAATTTAATGATCACAATCAACCAATTAATCTGTAACCCCCACCAAACAACTACTGTCTCCAATAGCACCATCGCTACCGTCACCCCTGGACAACCATCACCCGATAGCAACACTACTGTCTCAAACAAAATCAACACATCCACCTTGACAGACCACGACCACTAACATCTCACCATCACCACTCACCCACTACCATGACCACCCCGTCTCCCAATACCGCCACCCTCAAAACATGGAAGTTGCCACCATCATCCCTTAACAACCAAAACCACCACAACTACTGCAACACACCTGCCATCAACCACTTGTGCCACCATCGCACCACACCGCCAGATCCACACCACAACTGCCAAATTCGCCTCCACACAACGAACACACCATTGCCACTATCCCAC